TTATACTCTCTTACAAAATTACTTACAATATATACCATTGAAATAGCAATTATTAACAACTCTCAACACTTATATAAATAACCCTCCCCCTTATTTTTGGAGCCCCTTCAGCCAAATTGCACCTGGTTGAAGCCTTGGCCCTCTCATTACATATACTTACATACGAATACCTTACTCAAGACAACAATCCACGACTCAGACGACAGTTATCTTTTGATAACACTCCACTATCACTATATAAACCTGCCAATCTGAGATTGGTGGGCTTGTTTTAGTGTCTAGTGAACCAGGAAAGGCAGAGGCAACCTCACACATCCCTTTCCGCACTCAGCAAAAGATTCTCAGGAATACTTTTGAGCTTAACACCGGACATGCATACCAAAAGCCATACTTAAACCCATAGTTATGGGTTTAAGTTAGGCTTATTCATGGTCTTATACCTCTTCGAGGTCCTTCAAGTGCCTGTAGCATCAACTTGGAGTGTTTATTCGACACTCTGAGCCAGTTTTATATTGATCTTTGGCCCCAAAAGGGCTGGAAAACCATGTAAATACAAAAAAAAATTCAATTTTTCAGCTAAACTATTCGGACATCCTGCAAATCCAGGGTCGGTTTTTGCCGTCCGCAACTGTACTACATAGTGTGACTGTGACTCCTGAGGTATGTCTGTTTGGGGGTGAGAGTTCAGCTCTGAGCTTGCCCGGCTGTGGACACTCCAAACAAGAATAAAGTCGAGCTCAGCTGCTCCAAGATTGTCGATCAGCCGGGTCGCAGGGCTTTCTCCGGTTTTTCCCCCAAAGTTTGTTGATGTAAATATCGAAAATTCAGAAAGTTTCGATCGACTGCACCACAACAGTTGAGTATCATTTTCTTCTTTCCCCACACCCAATAACTACTCTTGACTGCTGTCTAACTGATTCATATACAAAATACAAAATACACAGACTATACCAATCCAAGCCTTGACACCAGACGCCCAGTCCCACTCTTTGCATCTTAATCCATCAACAGGTAAGTAATCAGCCCATCCTGTTTTTTCCCCTGCTTATTTTAACCTACCTCATTCGATCCCAAGCTCATCTCGTCAGGTGTTTTTGATCCCGCTGTAGAAATTCAGATCTTCCATAGTCTATCATGAGTGATCCAGCTCGCTATCCGCCGCCCTCCCATTATCGCTACCCCGTCCACCCTAATCCGGCGAGCTTCGCATTGCGCCCGGGCATCCACCCGTATTATAACCATTCTCCTGCTGGTGGCCTCCCGAATCCCGCCCTTAACGATCCAGCCAATCATAACCCCACTTATGCAACAGACGAACATTACCCCTTTCCGCCCGCTGTCCCACCCTGGCCTGGTCTCCCACCCGGTGGGCCTGTCGAGCACGACTATCATTGGGCTCATCCGCCACCACGTCCTTACTACGGAAATTTACCCGGTGGGGTTGAGCCCCATCTACACATGGACCAATTTGCTAATCCGATGGATCAATATCATAAGCGAATGAAGTGGCGAGAGGAACTCTTGAAAGGTGACCCCGAAAAGGCTATCAACGATAATAAGTCAGATGCTTCAAGATTGGTTGTTTCCTTAGTCACTCGTGGCCCTGTCGATCAACCCTATGGTCAGGGGTTAGTCCCCCTTCTTTTTCTTTTCTTTTTTTGGGGGGGGGGTTTGCCGGGCTTATAACTGGACTCACTTACATATTGACCGCTCTTCGGTAACCTTAGCCACGAATTCCTGTTCTTTGGATCCCTTCGAAAACATCCTCATTACCCACCCACCCCGGCGTATGTTGCCCTTGATGATCTTGATTCCAATTTTGACCGAGATATCACCACAAAACTAATCAAGATGATTTTAATCAGCAACGTCCAGTTCACTTGCTTCGCTCTCGAAGCCTCTCCTATCTTTCCGTTAAACGGAGGCGATGTCATTCCTAGTGCTCTTGACATGTCCAAGAAATCGCTCACCGCATTAATGCCAAAATTAGATGTTGCTAAAGATTTGAAGTTGGTACGGAAAAGCAAACCTCTATTATGGGACAACACGACGATTTTAGAGACATTCCTGTACAGGTCCGTGATTCCTCGCTCTTCCTTAGGCCCGAGGCTTCTAGCATCTTCTTCTCATTCTGACTATTCACCTGAATGCTGCATCTCAGGGTCGTAGAAGGAAAGGAAGACCCAGAATCTGCTGGCGGGAGAGACTTAGCGGAGCGCCTTGGCCCCGGAGACACATATCTGGAAACTGATCAGGTCACTCTTGAAAAGAAATTTGTTCGAGTGTTGACCTCCAACTGACATTCCACAAATTATGAGCTCACAGCGCTTACCACGAAATCATGGAAGATGTCAAGAGGCGAGTATTATCAGACCCTAAGATTTTGACAGCTTGATTGAGAATCTTTGTCTGACATTCTTTTTGCGACCTTGACAGTGATGTAATCGCCACTGCAATTGTGTTAGCCAACCCAACTATTTTGATTTTCTTGATCAGCAAGCGATCGCACTCTCAAATCTTTGCTTAGATTGATTGACGATTTTCAAACTACGATCGATCGACAGTTCTGTATATTTGCCGCCATACTTGAGTTCTGGTTTCGATCGCATTTTAGCCGATCAAGATTCTCGCGCTGATGTGCTTTCTTTGGCGTGAGCTGATAGATGTAGACTTACTTGATCACCCCACACGACAGAAAGATCAGATGCTAACTATTGCCTGTGTGTATTTCAGAGCCCTGAACGTTCTATATCATTGTGTTACGACTCAATTCGCACGCGAAGTACATTGTCTAAGTCATCTCTAAGTGAGGGGGCAACTTGCTGATCGTGGTGGCTTGCGCTTCTTAGGCCTTTCTACATTATCCTATCCCACCACCACCGGAACGTCAAAAGGATTATGAGCTTTGCGACAAACGTAGGGTATGGGCTTATTGGACCGAGGTCGGTTGATTTATTTTTCGTTGTTTGTTACTATTCAATGTTCATTTTCATGTTTCAATTTTTTTTTAACAAACTCTTATTTTTTACCATTGATCTAGGTGATAGCATGGCATTTATCACAACTCCGAGAAGATGCTCAAGTTTCAACTTCGTATACACTTTTGAAGTCTCTGTACAATGTCAGAGCCTCGGTCGATGACACGAAGGTCTCCTTGAATGAAGTCAGTGATCATGTTGATCCTTGAAAATGATTAAAGCTCTGATCCATCAAGATTTTTTGGGGAATACAGCTTGAGGCCATCATGATCAATGCCATTGCGTCCGAAGCCGATCGATCGAGACATGCGACCGAAACACTGGTTCACGAAGGGATCAGTGAATGTCTTCACAATCCCACTTTTGCACCACCAGAAAATGCATTAGAAAAGATGCACATCATCACTGCTGGAACTTCTTCAGTGATTTACCAAGTGATTGCTAAACTGAGTGGGTTTGTCCTCTAGCCAGTTAAGTGACAACAGATTCTAGTGTCAGCCTAACTTTGTTCTCCTCCCTCGCGCCAGTCACCCACGTTCTTGCCCGCAAGCCCAGCCTGACGGAAAGCAGTAGTAAATCGACTGTCAACAGAAGAATAATGGATCTGAAGATCACCATTGCTGAGAGTCGGCCACTTAGCGAGGGTGTGACGCTTGCCATGAGACTCAGCCATGTTGTCGACACATACCTTGAATATCGAGACCGTGGATCGAAACATGCCAGACAGGGATCTGCACCACCCTCTGTCGCCGATCTCGGACCGTCGGTGTTGGATCCTAAGTTGCAAGCTCAGATGAAGCAGGAAATGTCGGCTGCTGAGCAGCTTCGTAGCTTGCACCGGTTGCAACCCTCCTCCCTGGGCCTATCCAAATTGCTAGCAGAGTAAGTTCTATCCGTTTGGACAGAAGACACGTGACGAATTTTTTTTTCTGTTTTCTTATTTCGATTTGGTTTGTGATGATTCAGTTTGGATGCCAAGAAGGAAAAGAAGGAGCCCAAGGTGAGCATCGAACTTATCACGGACGCTGCCGTTGTCAGTACGGTTATGGCTGCTGGGGGCACGAACGTGAAGCCGATAATTTTGTTAGGTGCTGATCGGATGTGAGTAAGAAGTTGATTGTCAAATCTGCTGAAAATGTTCGAGAAGACTGACACAATCCCTTTTAACTTGCTTGGAAAAAAAAAGTTTCTCGAACGGAGATGTCGTTAATAAAGTTGGCTCTGCACAGGTCAGTAGCAAGTCGGAGCTTACTCCCAAGCGAGAAGAAGTAGTATAATTTCGTAGTTGAAAGAGCTGATCATCCTAAGTTTCTTGATTAATGTTTTTTTTTCTGTCCATGTTTGGTGTCAACAGATGGCATGGGCTGGTAGATCTAGTGGGGGGATTGTCTTGATCCTCTGTCGAGCTGATCGGATCCATTCTACTGGTATGGCCGGGCCATCAAAGGCCAGCAGCCCTTCGGACCAGCTAACCGCAGCTTGGGAACCTACTCTTGGTCGAGAGATGATCGCACAATTGCAGAAATCAAGTCATGTTCAGATTAGCAACCCTACTTTTGAGGATGTCAATCACGATGATATCACTGGTTATATCACCGAGCTCGGTATGTTCTTTTTCTTTCTTTTTTTCTCTTTTTTTTTTCTGGGATGTTCTGACATTGATCTAAAATCAAACCGACGGGGTGGGTATGTTAAACTACCTAGGTTTTATGGGCCATGATATGTTGGCGGAGTTTTCGAATATGAGATCTGACTTGGAAACGCTAGTCTGGCCAGAGAATGCGTTGACGAAATGAATGTCCAAGTTGATCAACCGATCTTGGCTCCCCCATCGTCAGTTGATCCGATTTGATCATTATTCTCGTCTGGATGTTCCTAACTCGATGATCATGCTAGTCAAGCATACTGACAAGAATTGGGGGTTTTGCAGTTGTTCGAATGATTTAATGATATGCGCAGATATATATCCGACCCGACTCCAAATTTCTTGGTTTTCTAGCCTATATTCGATCGACTCTATCAACTAAACAAGGAATGATACATACATCTCTTAAGGGATTTGCTCTCAAGTAAAAAAGGAATGACAAAGCGGCTTGAACAGACGACGAAAATGCTCATAAAAAAAACGGATGAGATGAATATTTTTCTAGTAGGTGTCTTGTATGTGAATGTCGATATGTTGTTTGGTGTGTGGTTTTGTCAGATTAGTGAAGATTGTATACCATTGTCAAATCGAAACACATGGACTGCTCGAATAAAAAAAAAACAAAACAACCACTTGATTCACGGGTTTTAATTATCGTTATCACTGCTACTACTACTACTACTACTATTATTATTATTATCTTGTACTATCAATTCTGTCTACTGTCTGTTGTTTTCCTTCGTAGATAAATCCATGATCTTTTGAATCCAAAGAACTAGATGTGCATACCCGTAGGGAATCAAGTTAGATCAAGCAGCTGAAGATAGATGCCTGGAGCGAATAAATGAGAGGTAGACAAATATAGTCGATATAGGATGAGTTGCTAATGTATTTAAATGGATATGACTCGAATGATGGTGATCTCTCTGCGGCTTTAAGAATGAAGTATCTATGTAGGACTCTTGAGGATTCTGTTGGATGAGTGGATATTTATGTGCTGAGTGGTGTTGGTTGCAGACCGTTGTTTATTATGATCCCAGTTGGGATTGGGTTATATGTTATCAAGGTTATCTATCATGATGATGTTCTCATGAGACAGACAAGTCAGCGCAAGTATACCCCATCAAACTCTAATAATATATGTAAGCTGCTGAGGGGTTCAGATAAGCTTAAATGTTTTTCTACGATGTATGGTTAATTTGGTTGGGTATTTCTGGTTGGCTGGGGAAGTCTCTATGTATGCTCAGAAGAGTAGTTTGCTTCTGATGGATTTCTCCGGAGAACTGGGGAAAGTCATTAAGAGAAGTTTCTTTTTTTTTTTGGCTGGGGGGAGGGGAGTGGAAACTCAGGATATAAAACCAGGGCTCCCCATCTTGTTCTTGATCGATTCCTCATCATCTTCAGACTGCTCCAGTCCTTCAAACTTGAATTCCAGTACAGACAAGTCTTCAATCCTTAATTACATACTAAAACATGAACCAAACCAACAACAGCAGCAACAGCAGCAGCAACAGTCATGAACACGAACTGGACTCAACCCGAACAACAACCCACCACCACCATCATCCACCAAAGAGAGAAGAACTGCCGCTCAACAATTGTATAACTCAAGTACCCACCCCACCAGACACACCCAATCTGACTGACTCCGATCAAGAACTACAACCACAACCACAACCACACCCAAACTCACCCTCAATCAACAACACTCACTCACTCATATCACCACCACCACCACCACTTCAGCTTGCAATATCAAATGTCCACTCCGATCCCATCCATCTAGCCCATTACTCGCCCATCAACCAGCCCACGCCTGCTCCCCCCAAACTACTCAACCACACTCTGCAGGATACTCTAGAAGATCTCAGCTCACTCTTACAAACCTTCCGCAAGATCCTGCCTCTCAGCCATCGACTCGCCCAATTCGTACCCAGGCTCATCCATCGATTCTCGAGGTTCGTCTCAGCTCACTCCTTTTGATCTCTCCCCCCCCCCCCCTTTAATCAATCCAACACCAGCCTTGAATTTTCAACTCGACATACATATCTGAAGATCGAGCACTCTGAAGATCCAGCTTGTACATATTCACCAGCATGCTTTCACCTTCTCCACCACCATCCATGTGCTTCTTTCTCCTCTTCTTCTGAGCTTCTCATCTCACATATTTACATAATATATAATCTATCCAACACCCCTCAATCCGTTTCTACATACAACAAACAACTCTCACCATTCTTCTGTCTCCACCCGCTTGCACTGTGACTGATTGAATTTTCACTCTTGCTTCCACAGATCTTGTGTTCAACAGATGGCTCAGATGCTCTATAATCGAAATCTTCTAGCTAGTAATGTGTAAGTCCTTCCATTTCTCATTATTTCATTCTTGGCTTTCTTTTTCATTTCACCAACCATACAACTCACCTTGAAAAATCCTCTGATTTATCCACATGTTATGATTTAGTGCTTACGATCTCGCTATCCTACTACTCAAATGGATCATCAATCTCTTCTTCCGTGAGATTCGTCCGCGTGGATCCCACAAAATACCTGACAAAGGACCTCTGATCTTCGTCGCTGCTCCACATCACAACCAGGTCAGTTGTCACCTTCTTCTCAATATGTACATTCCCATCAAAAACTGATCTCATCACTCCACTCCCTCTCAAATAATCACAATACAAGTTCCTTGATCCGGTTATCTTGATGTCTGAAGTGCGAGCGGCCGAAAGCGCACGGCGAGTCTCCTTCCTGACGGCGGAAAAGAGCATGAAACGACCGTTTATTGGGCTGATAGCCCGGGTGATGCAAAGCAGTATGTCTTGATGGCTCTTATGATGCCCAATTTATATATTATTAATTATTAAGATCATTTGCTTGCTTGCTTTTCAATAATCCCAGTTTCAGTCACACGAGCGACCGACGATGCAAAAGATGGGACCGGTCGGATCTTCTTATCCTCAAAACAAACCGATCCATGTATTCTCCACGGCAAAAACACGAGATTTACCCATGAACTAGCACCCAAGAAACAAATCTTACTATCCAAACAGTTAGGATTTGTGACGGTCGAGGTGGTTGAGATTCTGGATGACTGTTGCTTAAGAGTCAAGAAGCCATTCCCCACTAAGGGGGTCGAGGCCTTGCGCGAGGAGGGAAACAAGATTGAAGCTGGGATTGACTCGGACTCAGTAGTTGGAGTCCCATTCAAGATTCTTCCTTATGTCGATCAAGTAAGTCGAATCACTTTAGTTTTTTTTTCATTTTGATTTATATATATATATATATACCTTATCTGTCTTTCTATTTTGCTAATAATGATGCACAACAATATACTTTCACAGACTCAAATGTATGGTAAAGTTTTTGAGAAACTCAAGAATGGCGGATGTCTTGGTATCTTTCCGGAAGGAGGCTCACACGATCGTACCGATCTTCTACCGCTTAAGGCTGGAGTTTCGATCATGGCATTAGGCGCGATGTCTTCCAACCCTGAAATTACCGTCCGGATCGTCCCCGTTGGTCTGTCGTATTTCCATCCGCATCGATTTCGTTCACGGGCTGTTGTCGAATTTGGAACTCCGATCGAGATCCCACAAGAACTTGTTAGAGACTTCGAGAAGGGAGATGATCACAAGAAGGCCGCGATCGGTAAAGTGATGGAGTTGGTTTACGACGGCCTAAAGAGCGTGACTGTTCAAGCTCCAGATTATGATACTTTACAAGTCATCCAAGCTGCCCGGAGATTATATCGGCCACCAGATCGACACGTCAGTCTTAGCACGGTTGTCGAATTAAACAAACGATTTATTACCGGTTACCTGCGTTATAAGGACGAGCCAAGGGTGATGGCCTTGAAGTCAAAAACACTGGAATACAATAAATCGATTAGCTACTTGGGACTCAAGGATCATCAAGTCGAGAAAGTCAATCGACCGTGGTGGAAAAGCTTGATTTTGTTGTGTTTTCGTGCTGGTTTGGTGACTGGCTGGGGTGTCTTGGCGCTCCCAGGTGTGATCTTGAATTCGCCGATGTTTATTTGTGCTAGTATTGTCAGTCGCAAGAAGGCAAGAGGTAAGGAATTTGATCCTTTTTTTTTTGCCAAAAGAAAGAAAAAAAAATTATTCACACTGTGTTTTTTTTTGCTGATGATATGATTTTTTCCTACAGAGGCCCTTGCCGCCTCGTCGGTTAAGATTGCAGGGCGAGATGTACTTGCGACTTGGAAGGTCTTAGTCTCACTCGGTTTAGCCCCACCGCTTTACATCATTTATGTTGCTGTGGCCATTTGGCTTGCGGTGAAGTACGAGGTCTCACGGAAATATGTGATGTGGATCCCGATGGGCATGTTGTTTGCTCTTCCAAGTATTGGATATTCTGCGTTGAAATTTGGTGAAGTAGGAATGGATGTCTACAAGTTAGTGATTTTCTTATTTGCTGATCTCGGACTTGATTGATCAGATGCGATACTGATCTATCCTTCTTCTCCTGCTATCACTCATAGATCGCTTAGACCACTATTACTCTCCCTTCTGGGTGATCAGAACCAATTGGAGCGAGTACGCAAGATGCGGAGCGAATTGCAAGCAGAATTACACTCGGTCATCGAAGAATATGCACCCAAGATCTGGGAGAACTTTGAACAGACTAGGATCCATACCCCATCTGCGGATGTGGCACCGTTGAGCGGTGATGGTCGGAAATCGTTAGGCTTGGGATATGGAGGACGAGGGGTGGATCTGATTAACCATCCGTTGAGCTGGTTGGATGAGAGACTGTTTGGGTGGAGTCAGTACGACTCTCGGCCGTCACAACAGAAACGGCGCCGTCTCCGGCGACTGAAATCAGAGCCGACTCTTGCAGGCGAACGTGACGAGTTCAGTACGTCGGAGGAGGCGACGACGACGGATAGTGGGGCGGATGAGGATGGTGATTACGACTCGGTGGTCGGGATGCTCAGTCGGTTCACTGGGGCTGGGACGGGCAGCGGGTCGAGAAGCCGACGGACTAGCCGTGGAAGTCGGAGTCGGAGTCAGTTGAACCTCACCGAACTTGTGACGACCGATGATACTACTACTACTGGGTCTAGTGCAGCCGTCAAGCTCGGCATGACTGGTGATCTCAATCGGAGGAGGAAGCCTTGACCGGCTTTGCAGGCCAAACCCAAACTCAAAAAAACCAAAAAAACAAACAAATACTCATCATGTATACTGATCTCTTCTTCTTCCTCCATTATTGTGGTTGTAATTTCCTTGAGGATAACTCAGCTGTATGTTTGTACATCTGTCCAGCTCGACTCTGAGGTCTGCACATTGTTTTGATTATTTATTTATTTATTTACTTATATACTCGTGATCTTTGGTGGCAACCACTGAGCTCTGTTCCTTATCTATTATATACAAATATACAAATACATGTTATCTTTGGTTTTTGACAGTCTATATATAAATATATCAAAGAATAGTCGTTTTTGTTATGTTTTTATTTTGTTTTGTTTTATTTTTTTGTGTCAATATTATAATATGTTTTGAGTTGATGACCAAGAAAGAGCACGAAGAGTCAGATTTCAGTTGCCGGCAATCTCAAATGAGACTTTTACCAACCTGCTCGGGAGTACATTGTAATTTCTTTTCCTCTTGTCTCGGCTCTCATCTCTTTCAACAGCCCATTCAGCAGAGCACAGCGGGGTTTTCACGCATATGATTCTTGGTTGGACTACGTGCAATATGATTATTATGACGTCATAACTGTGATCAGAGTTGATAGCATACATTAGAGTATGTGTTTTTTATTGGCAGCTGAAGATAAACGCACCTTGATTAATCTTTGGGAATACATCCATCCTACTATTACTTCTTCTTCTAAACCATTCGTCCGACCATTAATAGTTCAATGAAACTATGGCTCTGTGGGCGCGTTCATCAGCATTAATATTAAGCCTGGCTCGTCCGGGGTTACAAAGTGGAAGCTTTAATCGCTATCCGGTCATCGCTCAGGGTCTGGTCAAGAGGAGTCATCAAACCGATTCCACTGAATCTAAATACCAATCCATCACTTCCAACCTCAAGGATATCTCTCAGAGTGCTCGAGAAGAGGCCAAGAGCAACCTTGGCACCGTCGTCAGTGCGGTCAGTGGTCTCAAGGGAGCTACTGATCCCTCCACTCCTTCACAGGGTGTCAACCCGGGAAGAAATCCTGCAGAAAACCCTGCTCAGAGCTCGGCGATGGCTTCTAACTTGGTATGTAACTACAACATATCTCTCTTTTTATTTTTCTTTTCATTTCAATAGCTTTCCGGATCAGCATCCATCTTAGGAACTGAATTTGAGACAAGATACACGTAGACTTCGTTGCTTAAATTGGTGCAAGAAGTACCCCGTGGAGCGTTGATATTCGGGTCAGCCGGCTTGGTCCCATACTTTGCGACTTCCTTCACCACCGTGTATCTTGCTCGTCAGGCTTTTCTTGCGGAACGTGGATTGCGTAGGTTCTTCTATTGATTCATTCTTTTCAAAGACACGATTTCGGTTCGAGCTTATACTGATCCCCAACCCGGCCTCTTTGCAGCGGCCAAGTTTGACGTCGATACCGCACTGGCTCTGCTTTACCATAACGAGAACTTGCAGGTGACCTATGGTGCGGTGATTCTATCCGCATTAGGTGGGTTAAACTTCATATATTTCAGCCAAGCATCTCAAGACCTTTGATCTTCCTGTGTATTAATGGAATCAAATCAATAAAAATCTTGTAGGCACGATTCACTGGGGTATCGATTTTGCTTTTCGAGGTATGCACGCCAATCAAGCTGGTCAGCCCCAGGGGACTGAAAGATATTGGCTCGGGGCTTTGCCGGTGGTCTTGGCATGGCCGACGCTGCTGTTACCAAACCAACTAGCTCTTGCCTCACAATGGGCGGCATTTACCATTGTCTGGTATGCGGATATGCTTGCAACCAGTTGGGGATGGTAATGATATTTTTCCTCCTATGTATCTCTCATGAAGCCCCAAATCCTGACTATAAATTTCTTTAGGACCCCTCGATGGTATTCGACCTATCGCTTCGGATTAACGGCGATCGTCGGTAGTAGTTTACTAGTCACCTTGGGCGCAAGCAGTTACTGGTCTTTGGATGACGTCGAATATGCTTCGATGAGCAAGAAATTACAAGCAATCCAAGACGACCAACTCTCTCAACACATTCACTCCGAGGACGGAAGCGTTGGGGGTGGTAGGGTGGAAGGGGTGATGAACAAAGATACACCGATGGGAAGTGTCAGCGGAGATAAAGCTTTTGTAAAAATCACTGACGTGGCTGGTGCGAAGCGCAAGCAACTGGAGAAGGCCGAAGCTTGAATTCAGAAAACATTTTTTTTTTAAAAAAAACAAGCAAAGACAACGTGCCTTTAGCTTAGCGTGTATAACATATTGGCAGTGTTGTATTGAAATTTGCATGAATTTCTATATATTCAATGTACATTTTTCTGTTATCACTCGCATGAGATTCTATGACGATAAGGAAACCGAATGTTATGGTACTTGTATGCCCAGCTCGACTTCTACCCACCAATTATCTGCTTCCCAACCGTGACGTTTGATAAGACACCAGTCTTTCTGAGGAGGGGGAGTGGACTGGGGAAGATTTGAGTGCAGTTGTGTGAATGAAAGCTCAAGGGATTCGGCGGCACACTTGACCCAGTTCAATTAATTCTCCCTCGCGAAATAGATGATAGTATCTGTTATAGGTCGTCAGCTTCTCGGTCGATTTTTGATCGGAGTTATTGTTGAGAACCCAAGGAACTAAGACGTCCTGTAAGTTGGACAGTTCTTCAAACTTTTCCAAGTCAGGTTCAATGGAGCTCGTCGATGGAGATGATCCAAGTTCGGGTGCAGGTAAAAGAGTCCCCTTGGCCCACTTTCGACGGGATTTTTGACCCTGTTCGTGAGCCCAGACAAAGATGAGGATCCGGCCGGTGGATGAAGGACGGGAAGGTTTGACGGAAGAGAGGAGGAGCTTGACGGCCTCGAGTCTCCTCTCTTGGGTCGAGAGATGGTGAAGGGTTGCGATGGAGATGGCGAAGTCGAAGGCGAGGTTGGAGCGGAAGGGCAGGCTGAGACAGTCCCCATGGACCAGCTCGGGGACAGAGTGGATGTGTTGTGAGAGTGAGAGCAGAGAGGCCGATCGGTCGAGACCTAACAGGAAGTATCGTGGCTCCTCCTCGAGCAGTTGGCCTGGCGGTATGCCTCCAAGTGCGATCTGCTGGCTTGGTTCACTCGTACCGTTCTTGATTTTGTTGGTAATGTTGTGTCCATGAAGATACTTTCCTGTCAAAAAAAAACCATTGAGTCAGAGAGGGTTAACTACTCTTGTTATCAACCGAGCAAAGCAAAGAAAAGAATAAAGAAAAGAAAAAAGAGGAAGACTGAAAGCTTGTTTGTTTTTTGACAGGTGCATACATACCATTTCCAGAGCCGACGTCTAAGCCGATCGAGCCTCTGGGTTGTCTATCCAGAAAATCAGCGACGATCGGCCAGGGTTTGTATCGGGTCTGTGAGAAATGGACGGCGATGGATTCGTAGACTTGATGGACATGCTGTTGTTCGTAGGCAGCCCCGGTCGAATCTCGTCGAGCTTGGTCATCTGATCTCATCCTGCTGTTGATTGTCCCTACCAGTGGAAATGTGTGAGGTCGCTTGCATAGAAAGTCGGCCTGGCGGGCTGTTTTCAAAACCCAAATTGTAGATGTCACGGCTTTTGGTGGTCGACGCGCTTTGACGATCAGTGCACTGGTCAGTGACAGAAGAGCTGCTTCATTCGGCCATGGTTATATCACCACACCTTCATTTTTCCGACGGATTAGAACTCATAGATGGACCTCCCCGGCCAGAATCTGTTATCTGAGAGACATCGCTCACTCAAGGGAATGAGGATCTAAATTACCCACGCGAACCCAACTTGGTCGGTCGGGCTTGAGCCGCCAATGAGGAACAAAACAGATCAAGGAGGGGGGGGGGAATCTGATAAGCCTCAAGATACTGGTATTAGCACGTAGGATGCATATCTCCTTCAGCCCAAACCCGGTGCTGGTTTAGATTTAAGATTAGGCCATCAGAAATTGTTATTGTGGGGGCGCCCACAGGGTTATAAATCAGATTGAGATTGGGAAATGATGGATGGGGTGTGTATGAATAGTTATGTACATCAGAGTAAATCTTTGCCTCTATTGAGATCTTCGGAGGATAGTAGCATGTTATGTTGAGTGGCCTTTCGCTTGTATGCTGATTGGTCTCTCAACCATTTTCGATACTCCTTCAAGCTTCCGATCCGTTCTCCATGCCAGTCTGGTAGTGGATTGTTGACGATCGATTGAGCAGGATCGACTCGATGTCGCTTGATATGATGGTAAAATTGCGCGTTTTTGTCTTGCATAGCTCGTTGGGTCGGCTTGCTAACCCGTAGCCGGAAGAATGCGTGCCCAATGGATGGGCCGATGAGATAGCCAAGTAAACCACAGCTCAGAGTGGCCAGTCCGTACCTATGATCGAGCGATCGATCAGAAGGTCAAGACGAACAAGGAGATTTAGAGGGAGATGGGAGGTGGATTGAATTTGAGGACTGACACATAAGGTGCTTCGATTCCCATGATCAGGTCAGTAGGCGCTGCTTCGATCGTAGCAAAATAGTTGACGCCGAGGGTCAAGCCGAGGGTGGTGATAGGGATTGTAGCAAATAGCGCATAACGCCTTTGCTGTTTCCGCAGGGCGAGATATTCAGGCCAGGTGAGTCTACCGTTGGGATCGGCTTCCAGAGTTTTGGGGCCTGTTTTTTATGGGGTGGAGTACCAAGGGAAAGTGGCAAACCGTTTGGGAGGATTAAGTGCTTTGATTAGTGATATGCGGAGTGGGATGTAGTATCAGGCGGATTGATGATTATGAGCTCAACTATCCTCGATTCGAGAGATTCGAGCGATTCGGACCTCCGCTTTGATAGTTCCGAGAGAAGAGCTGGAGGCAGTCAGTTAGATTCGTGCTGATTGAAGCCTGGTGGTTCGACCGACATCGTCTTGAAGAAAGGCCAAGCAAGCGTCCGGACATGCTTCCTAGTAAATATGTATCTGGAGTTATTAGACAGAGTGGATGTGGAGCAGCCAAGAAGAAGAATTTGAAGGATTTGTAATCTGTCACCTCACAATCACATCCCCTGTCACACATCTGTAATCTGTGACACTGACTGGCCTGGTTACTTTGGTGAAATCCAAGTGGAAATATCAAGCTTATGTACAGCTATTTCGGAAAGGGTTGTCCACTTGGACTCGCAATTTTTTTTTTTTTTTTTTGAAATTTTTTAAAGTTTTCTTTGTACTGAACTACAGCTGAGGAGGTACAGCTGTCATCCGTAGTTCAGTTCTGACAGGTATAGGCGATCGAGACAGGAGTAGGATGGCAAGCAGGTAAAGCAGCTTTATTTTATCCATTCATTTCTTGAAACTTACCCCAAACAGATACCAATTATAACGGACCCATAAACACTCAGATCGAAAGAGACACCCTTTGAAAGAAGAGAACGATTGAACCTCGAGAAAGCCATCGCATTAAGTAAAAACAGCAACATGACAAGTCAAATCGAATCGGATTCCCTCTATGGTACCAATCCACCCAAGGAGATATCACGCTCTCCACATTTCATCCCAAACAGTCAGAGTGACGAAGAGATCATCCAGGATTTTACCCTCAGAGGTTAGTTTAGTTCCTTCCCAGCTTGGACTTTTTTCCATTCAGATCCAAAATTCATTAACAACTTGAATTTGCTTTCAAAAATCAATCTTCAATCGACCCTCCCCATCAAGATTCTACAGCACCCTCAAAACCCTCTCCACCTACTACCGTCATCTTGCCCGTACAATCTTCCTCAATGGATCCTGGTCTGCCAGCTGAATCTAGAGCACCCGGCTGGTCAATGGACAAGTTTCACGATCCCAGTTCATCCACTGCCCATCAATCCACTCACCTAGTAAAACCCAAGCAACTCAGCCATTCATCATCATCATCATCTACTAGCCACACACCACAGCCCCACATCCTAGTAGCCCCATCCAGCGCATCTACCAGTAATAAATCATCTGCCACTCGTCCCAAACCTCGTCCACCTCGTCTAGGCGCTGCCTCAATCGAACAAGCTCGTGAGCGGCTCAAGTTGTCAGAATCCACCGACTCCTCTACCAATCCAACCTCAAGCTCAGCAATCGATCAATCTATAAAAGACCCTTTCCATCCAACTCGCCTCAAATCTAAACCTCCGCTCGTACTTCCACCCTCTCAAATCACATCACAAGACGTACCTGAACAAATCCCTGCAATTCAACAGCCTCAGACCACATCTGATAGACTGATACTTCCTCAGTCTCCCGAAATCACAATCTCGCCAAATCACGAGCCATTCAGCCGACACGAGCAAGCCGAAACACAGGCCCAATCCTCCAAGAAAAAAAGAAAGCCTAAAACCCAAGACAACCCCGAACCCAAACCACCACGGGGATCCGAAAAGGCTAAGGCGGACGGGGATGGAAAGCGAGTCAGAAAACAATCTGCTGCTGGGAAAGCTTCTGCGAAATCCCTACAGATCCTTCTAAATCTATCTCAGTCCTCAGATGATACCGGAAACCCAAACTCCGAACCGAGGGATCCGATTATCATCAATCGCGACTCCCAAAAAACTCAGAGACGTCGTGTCTATAGAAATGGTTGGGTTCTTGCATCCGATCCCGAACCGGAACCAGAGCTGGATATTCGCAACGAGGTTTCAGGGAAAAATAAAGACCAAACCGGCGGCTCGGTTCATCAATCACCAGAACAAAATCTTGCTCCCCCTCAAGTTCCCGCCTCGAAGGACATATCGTCGCAGCCGTTTCTTGAAATTGTTTCCTCCCCATTAAGCAGCCCCACTGGCTTTTCCGCTGATGAAACGGCTTCCAAAGCCTCTAAGCGATCAAAATCAAGTGTTGTTCCCAAGAAGCGCGTGCCCAAGAAAAAGGCGGCCCCAAAGCCTAAAGCTACTAAGAAACGAAAAGAAATGATCATCGAGCCACCTGTCAATGTCGATAATAACCCTTCACCAGTAGCTCTTGGGAAACGTCCTGCGGTGGATTCGGTCTCCAACAAACCGAACTCGACCCTTAACTTACAAGATATTCAAAATATCCCGATGGAGCTTGAAGCTCCCAAAGAACCCGACAAACCAAGAAGCCAGTCGCCTCCTCAACTGAATACACGCCAAAGTCCTTGCAGAAGACCTGGGACAAGTAGCAAGGTTGTGTTAAACGAATCTCCGGTGACTGGTGAACCGATTACAGTGGCAAATCAACCCACAAGCTTGAGTGACTCTCGAAAATCCGGTCCATCGGCAGCTGACCCTGTGCGAAACTCGACGAAAGGGAAGATCAAGACAACAGACGGTGAAAAGAAGGCAGCTGCAAAGGTTCGGAAAGGGATGAGCTTAGCCGAAATCTTAGCAATCACCAATCCGAAAACAAAGAAGGGGATCCGGATCGGCCTACCAAGGGAGGAGAAGCATCGGCTCCATATCAACATCAACCCCAATCCGCCCGTCCAAAAACAAGTCAAGAAGAAGTTGAAAGTCAAGAGGGGTGAATACGATAGCGGCGAAGATGATGCGCGTTCGAAACATAGTGGATCAACTGACAACAGTGATGATGACCAAGATCAACAGAATCGTAAAAAATCAACCAGATCGAAAAACATCAACCTAGATGATCAAGAGATTGATGAAGAGGAAGAAGATGCCAAGCAGAACGACGACCTTGATGAAGAATACTAATGACTTTTCATCATTGAATTGGATTTACCTCTAAACACATCCATTGGCTGTATTCGGCTTGCTTTGTTTTGCTTAGTTCTCCCGTTGATACCTTCTTATTCACTCTCCATTATTAAATCCAACGTTCAACTCCGCCAATCTGATTTTGCTGTGTTTTTGAAATTTTCTTATCTTACACTTTAAATCACTCAATTATGGCTGATGATATTTTCCTGCCTCGTTGTTGGTCATGATGTATTCAAATATCTGCTTGACTTGTATTGCATGCTCTTTTCCCTATCTCTCTATTTTGTATATGCGCGTCGAAAAGAAACCTTCGCCACTTCTCTCACATAGAAATTAGCATGAACTCCTTGTGATATCCTTATTGATCATTATAAGAACAGCCCACGTAGCTTTCATCCATCTGTTGGGAATCTTGTTGTAATTCAACTTGGACAATCTTTGCCAAAAATGAAAGCCAACACTCAATATCCCAGCAACAGACTGGGAAACATCACAGCTATATATAAGTAGTTAACTCAATATACACTTTTTTTTCTTCTTTTTTTCTGTAAAGAGCATATTTTTGGGATAGCATTGCATCAAATACTCACTTAGAAAAATCGGGAAGTTGATGTTAGATAATTGCATGCATGCACAAGATCAAAAACCTCTTCACTTCAGAAATGCTGTGGAAATCATTTGGGGATCAAGTAGAATTGTCGAGAATCATGAATGCAGTTTTCTGAGGACTAAAATAATATTATTTTTTATCTTTCTGGATATTAGAAATAAAGATGTGTGTTGTACACACTTGAGCTCAACAGCAAAAAAATTAGTGAGCTGATCAGGCGGTATATATATCAACAGCAGATTACGAAACAGTGCTGGCCTTCAGTTCTGTGTTACAATTTTTAAGATCTTGTGGAGCTGAATTTCCTTCAAGCTGCTTTGGCTCATACAGAAAATTGTGGGAATTAATTTCTACTGGTGACTTGTTTTAATATGCACGAGCTGAGCTGAAGGAATCAAGACACGCAAGTGGTAGTATTAATCTTTCAGGAAATCAGTTAAAGATACAGAACAGAAATGTGAGATTGTTTTGTGAGATTGTTCGCTGGGGACATCGATCGGCATCGAAGGAAATCTCATCACTCATCTCGGCCATGGTTTTTTCTTGGCGTTGGATCAAGTTCACCTCCGAAGATAACCTTGATAATATTGTTTTAATGTTTTTATTATGGTTCGATCTGATATGATTATGAATTATGATGTGATATTGGAGCACCGCCCTCTGATGATCAGTCATCATGGCCGACGGGAAGAACGAGCCTGTTAATTTTTTTGACGGCCCCGTACTGGTACACTTTGGTGAACATCCGTGTTATGCACTCCTCCTCCGCTTCATGATGTGGAGTATGTCGGATATGAATTTGGTCCTTCAAATCTTCTGCTTTTCCTTTATTGAGTTAAATTTTCTGGGTTGGATTTCCGCTCGATGGATGAAGCCTTAATCCAAGGCTCAAGCTGTATTTACGCTTGGGAAATCCAGTCTTCGGCGTGGTTGTTCATGGACCCGGTAAGGTTGTGCGCACAGCTCAATTCGGCCTCCGCCTACATAGAAATCCAGTGCGATCCACATCAGAGTCGAGAGTCTTCCCACATGGATGTTCTGATCAGCTGGATCTGGGCGGCCGGAACGCACTAATCAAGCACATGGCGATGGCGAGCAATCAGCCCAAGCACCGCTCGATGTGATTGCGGGTGTTCCCTCTCTCCTGCTAACGGTGCCGTGCTTGGGCTGGGGCGGACTTCCCTCAAGTATCATGGCGCGTTCTTCCCTTGTATTTAACCTCGGTTGCTCTTGTTGACCGTTTCCCTGTTCCTCTTCCAAGCAATTGCTTGAGTGATTCGACTCTAATAATCCTATCATCCCATTCCACATCACAATTACCCTGTCCAATCATCTCGTGGGCTGGCTGGCACCATGATCACCTTTCTCTTCGCCAACCTGCTTGCTTACAGCCTGGTGTACCTCCTCATCAAGTTGTGAGCCTTATTATAGTTTTCTTCTGTCTGATCTGGCTATCATACCATGGACTAACCCTTTGATCCGTAACGTATCTTTAAATTGTTAACCAGTCGTACTCGAGGTATGCATCTCTCGTCAAACTGTGGTCATTTTGGCAGGATAAATATACATGCGACCTTCAGACTGAGAGAGTTCTTTTCTTCCTCTTCCTCGTTTCCCAAGCAATCGGGACCACCAAGAGAAAAGACACTGCCTTTTACGAAGTACCCGGATGGCCACTGTGCGTCAAACGGCTCACAACAGCTACTTCCTGAGCTGCTTCTTGAGTGTCCTGCTAATGATAAAACCATGACTTCGAACCCACAGAATCGGACAGGTAGGCGATCTCATGACTCAAGATTTTGACATGGAAAAATTAAGAGTTCAACTGCCAACTTATGATCTCACCTGCGATCTATGCTATCGCTCTGCTCGATCCAGTTACCAATGATGTTCAAAAACAGAACTCGTAATCTGGAGGATAACACAGTCAGAGCCTTGGAACATGGCCCTGGTTTCAGTATAACAGTCCCCGGCATCAGAATCGTGGATATCAGCAAGCCAGAATGGATCGAGCATATGCAGAAGAGTAAGCATTCATGTTACCTCGATCTGGATGATTTTTTCAGTGGTTGCAGGATCCTTATAATTCACTTCGATTGACTTTCCAAATCATAGCCAATTTTGAAAACTATGTCAAGGTAATAATCACCCATCTTATTTATGCTCCAAGGCACTACCTTTTTGGGGGAGACTTTTTGATGATCTATGATTACTTCCTAGGGCCCTTTATTGCGCGGTATCATGTATGATGTTTTTGGAGATGGGATCTTCGTGGCAGATGGCCCAGCATGGAAAAGAGCCCGACAGGCCACCTCGACCATCTTTACTATCAAAACATTCAAGGTAAAACAAGACTATCAAGACATATTTTGACACTGAGTACAATTCAAATTGAAATATTCCTTGCTTTTGGTTGACATTTCGCCCAACAGAATATCATCGTCCCTGCCGCCAATAAAAGTCTGGATGGGCTGGTCGATTTATTGAAGTCGACTGCCCAATCAAATGATCAGAGCATCGACTTTTGTGATCTCTTCTTCCGCTACACGTTGGACTCATTCGTCCAAATGACGTCAGTGCACCTTTCACTCAAACGATCTTCGGATTATGTAGCCTTTGGTCAGTGAGAATAACTCAAACCTCTTGGGTTTTTCGATTTTCTGTACACCAGTTTTGGTCAAGATCTAGATCTTTTCGGTACCCAATATGATGGCAAAACAAAAGGATCATCGCCGTCGAAGCTCTCCGCGTCGTCGCTTCCGTTCTCGGAAGCATTCGATTTCGCGCAGGATCAAGTGGACTTTAGATTTTCGGTTGTGATAGGATGGAAGCTCCTCGAGGGGCTGGTTGGATCGATTGGAAAACGCATGAAGGCCTCATGTCGTGTTTTAGATGACTACGCTTACTCCTTGATCGATGAGCGAATGGCTAGCAGGACTTACCAATCCAACTTAGAAAAGAACGAAGCAGTGGACGGCGATTTGTTGGGTCTTTTCATGAATGCTCGTGACGAGCGGGGAGGTGGTTTGGGCCGCACCGAGCTAAGGGATACGACTCTGAACCTCATCATTGCCGGTCGGTAAGTCAATTGTTGAAGCAGCTTGACAACGCGGCTACACAGATGACTAATATCAAACCAACAAAAAAAAAAACGCAGGGACACTACCGCCGAAGCACTCTCCTGGGCCTTCTTTCATCTGCTGATGAACGAAGACTTGATTTCGAAAATTCGCGAGGAAGCGATTGAGATCTTGGGCGATGAGAATGATGGTCAAGAACGCGTGACACATGAGAATTACAAGCGATTTGTTTGGACAAATGCAATCGTACTTGAAACATTGAGATTACATCCGAGTGTTCCAAAGGTCAGTTAGAGCTCTAGCTTTATTAAACCAGCCTGAATAATTGATACACTTTATTTCCACGAACACTTCTTCTTGCCTTAGAATACAAAATGCATTGTTTCGCATGACCAAATTCCTGGCGGGCCAACTGTCGAGGCTGGTGATATAATCCGATGGAGGTTGTCAAATTCTTTTTGCTCAGGCCATTGATTTATTACAGAAAGGCTTATGAACCCTTTTTTTGTTTGTTTTTGGTGGGGTCTTTGACCGTTACTGAATGACAGTGGCTGGCAAATGGGCCGCGATGCCTCGTTGTGGGGCCCCGATTGCGGGGAGTTCAAACCAGCTCGTTGGGTCGATGAGAAAGGCAGCATCAAGCAATTTGGACCGTACAAGTTTAACGCTTTCAATGTAAGACTTGACCTATATATAACAGTGCTGCCATTTCCAAGACAGTGACCATCAGAAGAGTATTAATTGGAGGATTTTGAACCTTCCATTTAAACCCATGAATTTTGAACATTATAGGGTGGACCAAGAATTTGTTTAGGTATGAATCTGGCAATGTTACAGGCGGTTAAAGTGATCGTGGAGCTATTTCGCCACTTCGAGCTAGAGTTCGCTCCAGGATGGTGAGTGGAAATTTACCACGTCCCAAAAGACACGAAGACCAAATTCCCAATTCTCCTCACGTCTTTGAAAAACAGGTTAGAAAAGGTTCCTAAGAGTGAAGCGATAGAAGGCATCACATCTCGATATCCAACGCCGATGTACAGGTCGTCATTGACTTTACCAATGGATAACCCCATGATGGTATCAGTCAAGTGTAAGGCTTGAGGTCAACAAATTAACTTAAAGTAAACACATGATTAGGGGACACAGCTAAGATCAACTCGAACCGAATCGAACAGAGCTGGGCATTTTCAAGCTCCCTGATTCTTGTTAATTTCTTCCATGGGTTTTGTGCTTTTTTCTTTTTCTTTTGGATCGTTGTATATGTGCACCCTACCAATCAACTCCTCTTCATCGATCTAGATTCAAGAGTCTTGTGATGTCTAGTCATAAAATTTCCTATCCGTATCACTAATATCGAAAATTAGGCCCTACTGGGTACTGAACGTGCCTTTTGTACTTTTTAGGATGGAGTAGACTAGAGTAACGGATGCTCTCAATTGAGCAAACATGTCAATCAAACTCATTGATCCATACTTCCGTTTCAAGAAGATGTTCTCTTCTCAAAAAGATCAATCACAACTGTGGAAGACCTGCTGGTCAAACAAACCAACAGAATTGCCAAGCCAACTAGTGTCATGGTCAAAGGGTAGAATTGGAAAATGCCAATTGAGTGAAGTGGCTATTTCTTTTTGAACACCCTATTATGGTATTTGGAATTAAATACTTCAAGTTCTACTTCACAACTTAATCTGTGATGCTGGCTGGGACCTGACAATTTGAGTTTTAAGTATGCTGACACTGACAGGTCTTTACCAAATGTTGCTTTATATTTTTATATACTAAAAACTCCTTATGGAATGTTAAAACCTGTATATATTGACAAAGATGTTGTCAGTCAGGTTGTATATAATAATATATAGCAACCAATGCAATAGAGAAGTGATGAATCTAATGACAAAGTTCACCACAAAAAAAGTCAAGGCACCTGCTGACAGTTGAAATGTTGGCTACTACTGCCTGACTTAAATTCTTACTCCAAGTTATTCCAAAGTTATTTCTTCTGCATAGTGACTCACTATGAAAAATCTCACCAAACCAATGCCAGTTGATATGCAAGTTACTCTGAGTCCCATGTAACTTCTGTTAATATGTAAAGAATATCTGCACAGTAACTGTGCAAGACACACAGTGACTGTGCATAGAAGGATGGATGAGGTAATGGTTGAGTGACATTTGAGTAACAACCCAAGTTTGAAGATAGTTTCAGCATGCCAACTGGCAGCAGTTCCCTGAGATTTTTTCACACAGTGACTGTGCATTAAATTTCAGTTGAAATAACTTCTGAGTAAGATGAGAGTAAAAACACAAGTAGTCTCCAATTTGCTGCCTGTCAACTGCCATCAGGTGTCCTCAATTTTCTTGTGGTGGAAGAAGTCAAATTCTAGCTAAATAATTAAAATATACATGCCATGACACAAGAGCTTTCCCCAAATTAATTACATCTAGTGAGATTTAATAGCTTCGACAGGGAAGCGCATTTATTGCTTTTTCTTCTGTTTATGTTGTGGACGTTGGACATAGATCCCCACCCTGCCATTCAAACCTTTTGCTCCCCCACTGGTGTAAATGACACCAGGCTGTTGTGAGTCTCTGGTCAGTTGCTGATGATTGAAGCAAATAAGTGTCAAGAAAAAAAAATAAATTGTGGAAGATATTCTTGCCTTGTCTTTGCATGCATCAATCAGTTGTTTAAAAAGTCCATCAGTAGTTTTGCCCTTTTTACTATTTCAATGTGTCAAGTTGTAGAAGTGATTGATGGGGTCAGTACCTACTAATCTATCGCCAAATCACAGTTGGACTTATTTTGGATACTCACATGGTAAGAACTGACCCGTCTGTTGTATAGATTACTGCCTGATAATTTGTAAGGATAAAAAAACCTATCAGAAATGTAGTATCTTGACAATACATAAAACAAAGTGAAAAACTGCAAGATGTGGGACTTGGCATAAGAATAGGTTGACTTACTTGACATGTTTTATTGATGCTTTCAGAAAGAGGAGCTACATAAGCATAATCATTGGACCACAGAAAGGTCCCTGTCTGATGATTAATGGGAATATTGTTGTAGGCGCTTATATTATCCAGTTTTTAATTATCAGACCAAGATTAGCTGGATCCAAGCATATACAAGAAGGAAGTTTAAATGGGAAAGATAAGAACAACATACTTCTGGCAATCACTTGATAGGATCTTTGGGGAGGGGAAGCATAATGGCTTGAGGTTAGGATAATCCTCCTCAACTGGAATAATATGGATTCCACGGGGCCTAGTTGTAAACCTAAGTGGTCGATGTTGGTAGTAAGCATTACCATCTGGTGAACCTGGGAGAGGCGCACTGCCAGCCTAATTTTTCACGAATATATAAGATCCATAATGTCACCCTATGATCAAATGCCACTGGTTTTGCCCGAGTTGAGCCAGAGAAAAGACTCATGACTGGTGTCTTACAGAGTCTTTGCATTTATCCAGAATTTTCTTGAAGCTACCTTCCAATACCGCCTGATTCCTAAATGATCACAAACTGTTCAGTTCTAGTATGATTATTCTTAATCGGCAAAGATTGTTAGCTGCAAGAAAGTTTGCTTCCACTCACATGGGATCACGGTTGATATTATACATGGTCACCTTCATTATGGGTAAACAAGAGACCCATATGATTGAAATCGAAATTGGTCAGGCTTTTCTTGAGTGATGATGAGAACATGGAATCGGATAAAAAAGCACGAATTTTAATCCTTACAACACAGTTGCCGAAAGCCTTTTGAATTTCAACCGCATCACGATCAAGTTCTTTTGACGAGGTGTACTTGAACTTTGCAATTGCTCTGAGTTACATAGGAATAAGTAGGTCAATGTTGTTGAAGCAATGACACCGTGGCGTGGCTATGAGTCAGCTTCGGGGGGCGGGCGGGTTGAAGGGAATTCATCAACAGGTGAATCGTAAGCTACCTTAGACAATCACTCGCTTTGAGTTTCTGCTTACTATCGCACTTTATATCGTAAGCTTTCTGAAGAACTGTTTGGAGGTCTTGGAGGGAGGCAAGCCCTAAGAGCAGACTGAGTGTGACGAGGAAGACAAGTTGATAAGCTACCATCGCATCGGGTTCAGGTTGTGGCAGTAGCGGATCAAGATGGCGATGAAAGCTTTCAAACAGTCTATTTTATTTTGTTAAATATTTATTTACGCGTGAACAAGCGGAAGAAATTCATGTGAGTTTGTATGTGCTGATGAATATATGTAACCTGGACCAATTTGAATGCCAAGACACTGAGGAAGCAATGCTTCTTGGACACTTTTGATGGAGAAAACCAGAGGGCAGAGCCCCACAGCCGGTCGCCTGGCAACATAAACAGTTCTCCACCTTGAACTTATGTAGTCACAACTTCTGATCTTTACCTCATCCCTCCCGGACGCCGGGTCTCCTGCAAACGTCCGACTCCGGTTACGCCGTTACCCCACGGCTCATGAACTTTGAAGTGTACAGTCCCTTGACAGAAACATGTACCTGAGCCCCCAGATGCTGGAATTGCACACAAAAAAGTCATGTTAATTGATCAGCCCAACACATGTGGCCTTTTTTTGGTCCAACTTTCAAGCAGGTTTCCATTGGTTACATCATCCACATTCAGATCACATTGTGAGTGATTAAGATTCTATATCAAGTGCATTTCAGCAGGAGGAAGAGAAAATCTGGGGAGGGGTTATATACAAATATATTCATATATAGAATTAGGCAAATGGAAAAAGAAAGTTTGATGTTTTTTTGCATTGAAGTGCATACATCAGAGATGCTCAGAAGATCTCAAAAAAAAAAAGCTGATAAAGATAAGAAAGTGGAATACAAGAATTAATTGAGGACAAGGAGGAAAGAATAAGAAATTGAGGATACAATTGAGATTAAATGCAAGTTTTTTTTCTGTATTCATTTGAGTTGAGTTGATTGAGGTAATTGGATGGAAGGACTATGTGGATTACTAGCCGCTCGATTCTTGTTCTGTTTCGATCCTCGATTCGAGGCGGCCGGGTGGTCAGAAGAAGAAGCCGGATCGACTGGGCCGGCGCGGGCATCGGTCGACCCGGCTGTCTCTGCTGCGTTCCCACTACTAGTACTACCGCGCCCGACCTAATCATGCCGCATCCAAAACAAAATCAGGAAAAACCTGAAAACAATTGCTTTCGAAGTGCAGAAAAAAAAAACACCCCACGAAATCAGAGGGTGGAAGGAAGGGGAATTGAATACATACTAACAGGGTCGAGTTGCGAGCTCGCCGGTTTCTTGGAGCCAAGCGCTTCGGCTGGTTTGCCATTCAACGGACTCCCGATCGACATCGGTGGGCGTCTGAAGCTGGCCGGCAAGATCGGGCCACCCAAGTTACCAGAGGAGGGCTCGGCGGGGACGTACTTGGCCCGCGATGCCCCACTCGGGTTCCTCATCGGCGAGGGCTTGGCATGCGAGGATGCGACTGATGCTGTGCCAGTAAATTAAACAGTCAACCCTAAACCTTTTTCAAAGGAAAAAAAAACGATTGCAAATGGTCAATATTTTCTGCCTTACCTGGTCTGGATGGTTGCCCGGATGGGAAATACTGTGTTGTTTCTTGGTTGGATAGATGCAAGCTTGGTGTACCAACGGCTTGAGAAAGTTGATGTTGCTTAGCGATCGCATAATCGGAGTGTTCATCTGGAAAGATATAAGAAGATCAGATCAAGGGTTTTTTTTCTTCACAAAAGAAAATGCAAGCATAAAAAACTTATAGACTCTGACCACCAGCATAAGTCCAAATCCAGAATGGGATCCCCGAAATCCCGACGACCTCTCTCCTGATTTTCTTCCAAGATCGGACGCGAGGCGTGCGTTTTTCGAGGACCTGAGCGGGCAAGAACTGTCCTTGAGCTCTTGGAGGGGGGCCCACGGGGAAGGGTTTAAGTGCGGGCACGGGAGGTGGGGGTGGGGGTCCTAGGGAGTAGTCGTGTTGCGGTCTTGGACCCGGCGGTGGTCGGAGGATCGGGGTGGTGACTCCTGATGGAACTGGCGTGGGTTGGAAAGGATCTTGGGTTTTCGCTTGGCTAAGCTTGGACCTGATCAAGAAAAAAAAAAAAAAAAAAACAAGAATCCGGTAAGGGATTTGTCAGAGGTTGTGGATTGTGGAAAATGTATATATTTATCTAGAAACTGACCCTTTCTTAGCTTTGGACTTGGTTCCTGATCCTGCTGGCGCCTTAGCAGCAGCTCCAGTAGCAGGTTGATTGGGGACCGCTGGTGGGTTTGAGTGAGGAGCAGTGGTGGCAGATGGATTGTTAGAAATGGCACGCTTCTTGGAGCCTTCTGAGTTGGCTTGTTTCTTCTTTGGCGGATTAGTTTTTAGGCCAGTGACCGCTGAGGAGGCTGCTTTGGATTTACCGGAGACCACTCCTGCGGATGAATCCTGGGGTGGATATTGAGGCCCAGCAGCAGCCGAGAGTAATTCGGCATCGCTGAGAGGGACTAGATTGGTTTTCGACTTGGATTTCGGATTGATCGACGGGTGGGTGATCTTGATCGTCCTCGATCTCGGTGCGGCTTGGTGAGGCTGGTCTGAAGTATATGAGCTCATTTCAGAGTCGGGGCCATCCTGATCGGTTGTTAGATGGTGACCACGTTGAGGGTGGATGGCTATCGGCTGTGAATTCGTCTTGCGTTTCTTGGCAGGTGGATTGGCAGGTGCTACAGGTTGTGGGTTGTTGCTGGGGGGTGGGTTTTTTGACTTTGGGGGTCGTTTGGTGACTGGTTGTTGAGTGGCAGCAGGTTGATGATGATGATGTGGTGGCAGTGTTGCGAATGAGTTCTCCTGTTGTTCGGCTTGGTGGTTTCGACTGAGGTCCTCCTCAAATCCTTCGTGCTCCTCTCCCTCTAGTCCATCCTCTTCTTCCCCATCCTCCTGTTCATCTTCTTCCTCGTCATCATCGACTTCAGATGAGGCTAGTTGGTCCTCCTGTTCGTCCTCCTCTGGGTATCTGTTCGTTTGATGATGATGATACTGCTGCTGTTGTTGTTGTTGCTGTTGCTGTGGTGGTGGTGGTGGTCCGTTGAGTTTGAGTTTGAGCTTGAATCCGCCCGTAGTAGTTCCATTGTTGGTCGGTTGTTGAGACATCTCTTGCTATGTTGTTGTTGTTGTTGTTGGTTGTTGTTTGGTTTTCTTGTGTGCCCACTGCCAGTTGAGCTTGAGATTTCGGCTCATGGGCTGGATGACTCATCGGATCGGATCGGATCGGGGTGCAAGATAGCTTCCACCCCCCCGAGAGTTCGGGTACTCTTGTCGATCACATCCTGATTCCTGATTCCATCTGAAGGCTGTGATGCACCTTCCTGCTCAACTGCTTGGAATTGTTGCTCATCTGCTCCACACTTGCAATGTCCGATTCCCCAACGCCAAGCCAAAACAAACCTAGCAGCTCCCACGAAGTCGAGCGGAAACTTCGATTTGCACGCCAAACCATCAAACTCCACGAGCTTCGAAATGAAAGAGTGCAAGCCTCAATCGAAACATCAAATTCCAAAGTGAGGAAACAATCAGCGCTCATCCGCGGTATGTTTCAAGAGTATCTGTCATGTTTAGTCAACAAACTTTTCTGTACACTCCCTCTGAACTCAAATCTGCTTTGTTTCCGGTCGCTCTTCAACTCTGCAGCCCTGTACGCCAATAGCTTAACTCATAGCTACCTCCAAATCGAAACTGCTCGAGATTCTCACCCGTTTAGAAATCCAGAAATTTTAAAATTCAATGGCCCGACGTATGCGCTGACACGAGGACTTCTACCACGCTTGCGTCGCCTACTTCTCGAAATGACAGACGCCCTAGAACCCACTCGGTTCCAAGAGCTGCGTTTTTCGGACCAGCCAGACCCCATGGAGCTGGATTGGCTCGGGGGGATACCTGACAATGCATGCCAACTTCTATCGAGTGTCTTTGCAGATTGGTACTCCTACCCCGAGGAATACCCCGGCCCAAGTTCGCACCCATGTCCGACTTCCTCTTATATCCTACATTCATATCATTATCCCGAAATCATTTGGGCAGTCGATCGGATAACAAGCGATATAGTCCATCTACTCCGAAACTACGCCGAACAATCACAAGATGAGCCAGAGCTCTGGAGTCCCGAATATGGGCAAGCAGATGTAGGCCAGATATTACGACTGATTGATCAAATGGTTGACGATTTGGAACATCCCCGCACGATGATCCAAATCAAGTGGCAACGGGTCGTCAGGGAGACCCAAGTCATGGAACTCGCCGTGATCGAATGCTTGAAGCCCAAAGAGTTACGCGAAACGAACAACAGAGAAGGAACGTTCGAAGGCACTCATCTCGAGCTGGATCAGTGGGTTCCAAGGGAAGACATGGATCAACGCGAAGTCGACCTCCGCAAAAGTTTCTTGCCGGTCTTGAAGATCTGTCGAATTCTATTGAATAAACTATCCAGGCCGACCAGCAGCGAACCGCTTGTGATCCTCGAAGCCGATATGACCGTTTTGAATAGATTATACGAGGAAACACATAAAATGGAGAGTAAACTTAGGAAGTTGACCATCATCGTCTTGACCTCCGACACTGCACGAGCACGCAGATACCTGCGTCATGATTGCCTTGCAAGTTTTCGACTCCTTGTACAGTCAAATCAATCCTGCTGGCAGGCTTACAGATCTGAGGATTCAGATCTTTCAATCCTCATTCAAACCGCTCTTGAATGGTGTGAAATGTGGACAGTTCAATATCTGGCTGCTATCAAACATTTTGAATGGAAACTCTCAGTAGCACATTTTGATGATATTTTTTATAATCAAAATGACACTAACAGTCAAACAGAAAGTGATGATTTCTTTAGTAGTTCTGATGATTAGAACTATTCTACAATAAATACCAAATGTTACATCAAGATTTGTTGCTTGTGATAACTACAATCATATTTAGTTTATTTCCTTTGGCTCTTGTTTGTGTGGTGGGTCTTGTTCATCAAGAAAGAATTTGATATAGATTGTGTTTATTGTTGTGAGCCCTGAGACCAGAGTAGTTTGCCTGATGGTGAGCCAATCTTAAAAAAAGTATCACGGGACTTCATATTGCAGAAGGGACAAGGGATTTGATTAAGTTTGGCATCATGGTGCTAGGCATGACATGGATATTGATGCTTCTCTCATCCCATTTAAGGTAACCAAACTTTCATTTTAAAGAATAATAAAGAGTAGGGAGAAAAGGAAGAGGAGAGGATCAAATGAGATATCTTTGATCCTAAATTAATGATGATGTTTGCTTACTTCAAAGAATCCAGAGCAGTATCTCCAGCAAAGTATGTTGTAATGATTTGGGGAGGTTGGTTAGGATAGATCTAGATATATAAAAATATAACATGAGTTGATTAAGGGGAAGTTTGGCCCACAACCACTATCTCAAGTGTATCTCCCAATTAGAGATGGCGCTCAATACCCGGGTACCTGCCTCAAAAATCCAATATTTTTGACACCCGCACCCGCACCCGCACCTGCTAGGGCCGCCAGGGGCGGGTACCCGGGTACCTGCACCGGGTACCTGCGGGTACCTGGCACATTTTTGCAGGCAAATATACCCAGAAATCTCACCCTTGAATTTCTGCATGACTTACCAAATGTATGATTGATATTCACTAGATATATGAGTAAGAACATAAAAATAAAGAAATAAAGAAGAACAAAATATCCTATCACTAATTTGCACTTTATCTTCTCTCTGATCTATCATCTTGAAGGCTGGAGGGTTCCCTCTGGCCTCAACAGGCCCATGTAGGACACCAAATGGTGTCCTACATAGTTTGCTGACACCTTTGTGCAGCCCAAAAAGCCCAAAACTGTATTCCCAGGGCGGGTGTCAGGGCGGGTGTCAAGGCGGGTACCCGGGTACCTGCCATTTTTTGTCCCAAAACTCAACACCCGCACCCGCACCCAGCACCCGCGGGCGGGTACCCGCTCCGAAGAACAGGTACCTGCAAACGGGTACCGGGTACCCGCAAACGGGTACCCATTGCCATCTCTACGAGTCCCAATCCCCCTCAAAACTTGAGACACTGTTGAGATACAGTATCTCAACTTGATGAGATACCATCAACATCAGTTTGGGTGTTTGGTGATCAGGATATCTTGAAAATAACTGAGATATTGTATCTTGACTGTCAGCCAATTTCTTTCAACTTGAGATACTGCTATTTTGCTGTATCTGAAACCAGATTCTCAACCTCATCCCTCTCCAATTCCCCCTGACCCCAAAAAATCAAAGTCCTCAATCCCACCCCACACCCCTCTAGCACAGCACCAATGCTGCCAAAATTGACCCACTCACACAAATCACTGAGTCTCTTGCTTGACTCCCAGCCAGACAGTGGCACTGTCACTCTGATTGGCCCTGTAACCAGATCTAATGTGACAGCCAGTTCTCACTCACCAGCCCATCCAGCTATTTCAATCACTCAGACAGTCAACCTATCAATTCAACCACCAAAAGTCAATCTGTTGCATTAAGTGGTCTGCCTTCACTATCTGCTCTGTTTCTCATCAAGCAATCTTTAATTCTATATGTATCATTGATAAACAATCTGAGCTCAATTTGTATGATTGGTGATGAATCAATAATGAATCTCCTTGGATAGTAAAATTTTTCAGCTCTATGTACATGTACAGTTGATTATCATTCTCCTTAGATGTGTCTGATGTTAATCAATGATCAATCTCAATGTGACCGCTCATCAGACTGTTGTCAAACCAAACAATGCCAAATAAAGTGATGTTTTTTTGCAACATTTAGTAAGTATTTTGAAGAAAGCAATTGGTTGAAATAATAAAAGAGAGAACAGAGTAAAAGAAAGACCAAGGTAAGAGAGAGGCTGAAGAAAAAGATAGAGCAAAGAAAAAGATATACCCAAGGAAGGACCAATCAAAGAAAAAGAGCAATCAAAGCAAAAGAGATACTAATGGCTTATTTGAGCTAGCCATGATGGGCTGAATGTGTTGGGGTAATTATTGTTGATTGAATGGTTGGTTTCACTACCCGTCTTGATCTATGTTGCACTGCCAGAAGTCATTGGAGTGAGATATTGATTATGTAGTGTGCAGCCAAACAGTACTTGTATGTATCTGAATTTCTTTCATAAGCTCAGATATTCAACATGTTGTTTGGTTGCACACATGAATATGGCGAGTCTCAATGAGATATAATTATCTGGGATTTCACAATCTCAGACTTGAGCGCAGCCAAACAGGCCCTAAATTTAGCTTATCTCAAGTTCATTATTTTATATGTAGATATTTCAAAAAGAATTTAATATAATAAGACCATCTGAGCTGAAGATTTAAAAGTGTGTGATTCTAAGTAATTAAATTTTGTTAAATATCTCAGAAATTGATTCAAGAGGTAAGAAGGATTTTTTGCTGAGGGGGGGGGGGGGGAGAACTGTTCTGGTTCCAAGGTTTGGAATTTTATGCCATATCTTCTCTCATGTTTTGGTGTTGCTTTTCTTGACCTTGATCTGATCATCTTGCAGAAATGAAGTTGTATTTTTGAGTATTGCTTTGAATATTCAGAGAATTTGGTGTGCTGGTTATTCTTAATTTCAAGATATTACATATCTGTGAAACCTCTCATATGCAAGTGAACTCATTATTCAGGCCCCGTTTGGCCGCAAATCATTTATTGTGATTTGGCTAAGTTTGGCTGGGATTTGGACCGTGCGATATGAAACGATATAAGGTTTTTGCACAAACTCCTGGCAAACCTCAACTCCAAATTACAAATCATGGACGGCCAAACGGGGCCTCATTTTAATATTATTATTTGTAAATTGTATCATTTGTTTTAAACAGGTATTGGAAATCTTTATGAAATGTGAACATGTCTCTAAGGGT